CCTCCCAGCTGACCAATACAGAAGCTCCCAGAGAGGGTTCCATCACTGGACTCAGAATGGTGAGTTGCAGACCTGGCTAAAACACTGGGTCCTGCAGGCAGCTTCTCTAAACTAGCAAAAGTGCTGAAGGAGTCAGATGTTCCTTGGATGGGAACTGGCTTATTTATAGCAAATCAACCCTCAGCCACACTACCACCTTCCTCACAAAGTCCTGTCGCTGCTCTTAGAGCTGCCTTTCTAGCTGTAGCATATAACCAGTGTGCTCAAGCGCTCCTCTGCCCAGTCCTTGGGTCCACTTTCATGTTGTTTTGTTTAGAACAATGCCCAACAAACAACATCCAGGAAAACCCATCTGCTAGTACTGGACTAACATGGGATGGGTGCTCTGGGTCAATGTGTCAATGTTGTTAAGTGTCAATGTGTCAAATAGTTGTGTTGGGAAAAAAAAAATCTGAACACCTTTTCTTTTTATGGCAACTGACTATCTGTCAGCCCTCCCCTACAGCAGGAAAGCTTCACCCAGTATGCAATTAATCAGTCACACTAGCAGAACGTCTGCTGTAATTTTTGATGTAGTATATTTAATATTATGTCACTGGCTGTGTACCTTAATTTGTATTTATGTTTGTGATCTGAGCATTTTGCTTCAGCACAGAGTACTTAACATTCCCTCCAAGAACACTATGTCACACTGGAGTGCGACGTCTTAGTATTGCAGAGCTTCACTGACTGTGGTCACGGTAATATTTATTTACTGTGCCTGTCAGTGTGTTAAGGAATGAAGCTAAATAAACTTTGCAATGCTGACAAAACAGCTCTGATTATTTTTGCCCTATCCTTTTCATTTGTGTAACAAGTTGACAGGCTTGCATCTGGAACAGCCTGTGCTGCAAGGTGAGGGATCTCCTATCATTGAGATTTCCACTACCCTTCAGTACATTTGGATTTCGCTTTTGAAAAAAGGTACTTTTTCAAAAAGGTACATGATGTTTCACCTTTTAAATTTCCAACATCTAACTGGAAGATGCAGGGACTTCCTAAACCAGAAGCCAGCATGGGCTAGGAGTAAATGGGTCAGCCTGGGAGTGGTGGAGTAAAGATGTCCTTGTTTCTGCAGCTTTTAGTAGATCCTCTGGTGTCTACTGACGTGCACATGCCAGATGAAATCTGGGTTGGGGCATGCATGTGTGATGCCTGTTCCTTATGTGGCTTCTTTGAATGATGTCACATGGCAGCCTTCAGTGCCCTGGGAAAGTGAATGAGGGCCCTGTCCGCCTCCCCTCTCTCTTCTAAAGAAACATGTGAGAAGTTACCTCTTTGCAACAGTGACCATGCTATCAAAGATGCTTAAAGTTGGTCAAAGGGGTTCAAATGTTTGTGGTGAGGTAGGGAAGGAAGGAGGGAAAGACAGGGAGGAAGAAGGAAGGAAGGGAAGAGGAATCACACAACTGTTGCCTCTGCCCGCATGCACACACACACACACACACATTTTGCAAATGAGCAATCAAGGGGCTCCTGGATGAGAGCGTGATCATGCCAGGAGGGCTCTCAAGTCCTGTGGACAGGGCAGTCACCCAGCGAAAGGGAGTCTTCCAGGGGTGGCTGCTGTGTGTACTGCAACCCAGGCCACCTGACATGCAAGGTGGCCCCAGGTGGATCTCCCAGACGGACTCCTGTTGCCCATTGCCATCACCTCTTCTCTGGGAAGCCTCAGTGAAAAGTGGCAAATGGCTCAGAGCCTTGTGTGCCTATGGAGGTGGCAGAGGGAGAAGAGCCACCGCCGTACATGAGATACCTCTGTCATACCTAAGTCCGTGTCAAATTCAAAGCTTGTCTCATGTTTCTGAGGGGTGTCAAGGCCTTAAGCATGTTGTTTGCTCAGGGGAGTGTTATTCTGGGAGGATTTCACCTGTGCCCCTAACTGAACACTAAGTAAATCATTTAAACATGCATTAGCCTGTTATTTTTGATACTGTCTCCCAAACAGTGTTCTACTTCTGCTTTGCAGAATGACAACCAAGGAAAAAGTTTACTTTTTTAAACTTTTTTTCCCCCCATTTTGCCACTGTTAGCTTGTTTTTAATCATCGCACAGCCTGTCAGTGTAAATTTCACACCAGGTTGTATTCGTATACTTACAAATCTTGGGATGGGGGAGCCTCTCTCAGGCTTTTTTCCTGTTCTTTTTCAGACTTGATCCTAGATATTCTGATCCTGAACCATCAAAACACTCAAAAATATGCTAGGATGAAGGGATAACTATCTAGGTAACTAAGCTCTCTCATTTTATGTATTTACCACATAAGAGGTAAATAAGTCTATAAAAATGGTCAATAAATATTCACCCCAAGGTCAATAAGTTTCATATTAAAGGAAATTGGATGGAGTAATATTATCTCAGTATGCTGAAGAGCTTAGTTGGATCAGGGATTACATTGCTGAAGAGTGTGGGTGACAATTTCAAAGCACATCCTCATGGATTCCTACAGAATGCATGGAAACTGGGAGTCCAGTTGTTCATGCTGATATTTAAGATTGTGCCCTACATCTGTCTTTTGCTTCCTTAAAGATTAGAAATATGTATTTTTGATACTGAGAATTATTTTGATTTTGTTGAATCACATTCTCTTCTTAGCTGAAATCCAGACTCACTGTCAAAGAATTAAATGGAAGAAATAAGAAAGAGTAATCTAATGCAAACAGTGAGCAGAAGGAAGTAATGGTTCGCATAACATGCAATTAACCTGCAGAAATCATTACCATAGGATGGAGTCAAACTCAAAAGCACGGCAAACCTCAAAGCACAAATTGAAGAGTATTTCTGAAAGGATCTATAAAGGCTATAAAAGTCCTTGTTTCAGTTTAAACCAAGAATTAATTACCAGGGTTAAACAGAAGACAACATGGGAAGATCCTCTCCCATCCATAGTCCCTCCAACCCTTTTCAGCAGCATCCATGGCTAAATACAGTGTAAGTCAGAATACAGTCAGACAGAGGCACAGAACTGGGAATGTTACTGGTATTTATCTTCCCCTGTAAAAATAAAAACTCAGAAATGCTTGCAGAGTTTATCTTTCAAGGCCTTTCTACGCTCCTGGTGCTTTTTCAATTCAGAAAACAAAGTTTATTGACACAAGGAAAGCTGTAAACTCTGCAGCCAAGACTTACAGCCAGGTTTGAGGAGAGGGGGGTTCAGCTTCCCCACTGCTTTCAGTGTTAGTGTCTCAATCTCGTATTAGAAATGTAGTGGAAATGAAAAACTGATGCGTAGCCCAAGATGACATTTAAAAATGAGAAACAAATTATACCGTTATTTGTATTATTTTCTATACTAACTGTGAAAAATTACTCTGAAGATCTTTTTATTACACTTTTACAATCAAAATAACAAATCTAGCTGTCTGTAAGACATGTTTTCTGTGAAAGTAGGCACCTTGCATATCCCAAGCACTCAATTTTTAAAATTCCTTGAGAAGACAGAATTTTAATTTTTGTTGTCATATTGCCTGGACTTGACAATTTAGCACTGTGTCTTCATGCCCTCTGTTGTGCACAGGGAGCAGTATTTTGAAAATGTCTAGATGACCACTGAAGAAGCCTCACAGAGAAAAACACAGAGGGAACAATTGCAAAGATTTATTTAGCGCATTCTGTGCTTGGCACTTAGAAACAGAGTTCCGTGCGTAGGGCAAATCTTTATACACCTTTTTCTTCATACATATTTTACATACCATTTTTATTGCCCTCTTTTATATTCATAATATTGAATCCTCCACTAGGCATATAAATACATTTATCTACAACACCTCACAACAAATCTCAGTATCTGTATTCTGGTACTTGGTATTTGCATTTTCACACAACTTAAATGCATAGCTTGCACCAAGCTACAATTGTTTTCTTATTTTTAAAGGACTTGAAGGAGAGGAAAAAAAAAAAAGAGAAGAAAAAAAACAGAAAAGAAAGATGTCAAAAGGCAATGATCTATTTGGTTAAACAGAGATCATGTGGCAGGCGGGAGGTTGGCAAGTACTCAACCTCACTGCTACTGAAATGCTAATGGTTTTCTATGGCAACTCTTGCATGCAAGGTGAGGGAGGCTGGCTGCACTTCTGCAGAGCAGAGCTCTCTTTTTTCATTTGCTTTTCACGAGCTCAGTCTGGACAGTTTCCTCTCATTGGGTTGAGGGCTATGGGACACATGTTCCCCACACAGGCTCTCATCCATTCGGTTTGGGCACATTACTTCAGGTCATGTCAACAGGAGCTGAGCCCCCCATTCCCCCACGCATCTTTCTGAAGATCAGTCCCTGCTTATGTCTGAAGCTCACTTATGGGTTAAAACTTTTCCTCTCTTCTCTCTCTCCCATCTCCATCTGCAGGCTGGGTGCTGGTAAGCTCAAACTTCGCAAAGAAACCACTGTTTGGGCATAGCTGTGGTGAAAACGCAGAAACCTCTTAGGGAGGAGAAGCTCCAGCCCAGCAGCGCCATTCCTGCGCTACAGTGGGAGAAGGACCCATGGGCCACTGTTGGCTTCAGAAGTGGGTTGAACAGCTCCAGCAGTAAGGAATGGGCTGGGGAGGGGGAGGTCTTTAAGGCTATGGGCGGTGTAGCTTCAGAGGGCAAAGCCTTGGGAAACGGCCTTTCTTCAACACACAGAGGACACAGCACAGGGGCATGGCTCCCTCCATGCCGAGAGCTCACACTAGCTGAGAGTTAATGCACAAAACGTACATTCAGCTGCTTCTTTCCAGCTTCTCTTAAAGTCATGCTCTTCTCTCCGCAATGTCCAGAAAGAGCACACACTCAGTGCCAGGTCTGGAGGGCCTGGGCAACAACAAGCTGTGATGGCTGTCAGTCATGGCTTTCCACAAGGTTCTGTGGTGCACACCTTGATGGCTTGTATTCTTATTTATCATTACAATACTAGTTCCACTATAAACTTGAAGGCAAAAAAGGTACTGGGATGGGTTTTCCCACAGAAATAGTGAAGGTCCATCTGCTTTCAAAGCCAGGTAGAGGCAGGGCTTGTTAGACCATGTGCACAGACATCTGTGAGGAGGAGCCCTGAACCGCACCGTACTGTCTGTTGTCACAGGCGTTGGTTGTCTGCTGGTTGCCAGAGGGAGGGCTGATCATGTGCATCCCATGATCCATTCCCGTCGAAAGGTATTGCCTCTCTCCGAAGGCTCCGCTGGATGGAGAAGAGCAGAGTAAAGTGCTTTGGGAGGTGGTGAGTTTCTCCGGGCTCGCAGCCAGCCTGGGGGAAGCAGGGAAATTGTATCCATAGAGGTTGTAGGGATTGTGCAGGGAGAAGGCGTTGTAGGAGCTCTGCTGCATGTGGCCACCGCCGAACATGTGTGAAGAGGAGGAGGTGGAAGCAGGGTTGCCTGCCTGCATGACATACTGAAACTGGGAGCTAGGGAAGGATCCCAGCTGGCCACTGTACGCTTCCATCTTGCTGTTGCTGGGCAGGGAGGATTTTTGAGATCAAGGATGGAGTCCTCTGAGGCATGAAGGTTTCGGAGGGCTGGGAGGCAGAAGCAGTGCCACTCTGCAGCCGGTTGTAGCCACTGTCGCTCAGCCCCGGGTAGCTCTGCAAGGCAGCCATGTTGCTTCTGGCACATGGGGGATAATCAGAGAGGTTGAGGTTGCAAAGCTGACTCTCCCGGCAGCCAACGTTGAAAGTGTTGGGGGCCAGATGAAAGGCTGGAGGGGAGCAGGATGGAGAGAGAAGGTGAGAGGAAGCAGAGGGTGACGGCGTCCCCGTGCTGGAGGTGGTTGGGGAGGTGCCTGTGCTGCCCCCTGCAAAACAAAACACATGGGAGGATGTTCAGAGCCTGGGATCACATCTGCAAAATGGGACAGTCTCACTGAAAAACAGCTTAGTTTAATAAAGAAATGAGGGTGGTAAAATGGCTGTTGGAAAACTCAGCCTTTCTTGGCAAGGGCCCTCCCTTTATTAATAGCAACCCTTGGTCCTTCCTGCTGCTTTTTTGTAATGACTTTGTTTTTCAACGGAGATTTTCTTCCCTTTTAAAATAGAGGGAAGCAAGCCTGCCACAGAACAATCCAAGGCAGTGGGAGAAAAGCTGCGAGGAAGCATCGCTCTATCAGTCAAGAGATTTGCTATTTCCAGACCTGTTTGTCTAGTCCCTTTTCTTAAAGAAAAGGAAAAAAAAATTTCTCCTCTCTGTTAGTCTGCAGGAAGACCACCAGTCCGTGAGCTGCATGGTCCTGATGAAAACCTGCTTTATCATTCATGCAGGAGGCTTGTGGCGGGAGGTGTCTGAAAGCATGTTGGACTTCTGCACCGTTCAACAGTTTTTTCAGATGGCTCATGGTGCAGCAGTATGGATTTAAGCCAGAAGTAACACTAAAATGAAGGGACATAGTTTCAACGTATAGCCTCTTCCACACAGCAGAGAAAGGGAATATGTCAGGATTTTCAATCATGTGCTTTACCTTTGTTGTATCACTGGTGTTAACAAAATATTGATATATATGCATGTTGGTAATATCAATGCATTATACAATATTTATGTTATGAATGAGTGAATTTATTATTTTGCAGAGCAGGGATCTTCACATGTTCTGACCTGGGAAAACAATACTGCGTAATACTATCAAGAATGGTAACAAACTGGAAGTACATTATAAAAAGAATGGCACAATTCTGAGTTTACGAAGATTCTGAGATGGAGGAAGCTTCCTTGGTCAACCAGGAAAATCAGTTCTTTACTTAAGGGAATGCAGTTTTCTGGTGTGAAACATTTTTTTTCTTTTGAATTATTCTCTTATCATGAGATCTCATTTCTGCAGTAGGGCAACTAATACCAAAGACTCTTGTAAAAGAAGCAGAGGGGCTGTTGAAGACATTTGACCAGGAGATAAGTAGAATCAGAGGAACTAGGAAGACAACTGCTGAGGCAGCATTTTAGAGAAGCTAGAAAGATGACAGGTGAGAGGCAAAGGGACTGGAAAAGAGGGAGTTACAGTGGGCAGTTTAAATTTAACCAAGGCAGAGATTGCACATTGAGGATGTGAGGGACAACTTTCTCTTCTGTCACCCTGTGGAAAAAACTCAGCAGGATTTTAAGACCACTCTATGTCTGCTGCAAAAGAGAGGAGGAACTGAATGCAGTGCTGTTTGATGGAAAGAGAACAGGTGATTTAAAATGGTTAAGCAATGCACTAGAAAGACATGATCTGTGCCCATATATGATGGTAAGAATGGAAGTGAGATTATATAAGTGAGATTATATCTGACTCTTTCTAACACATCCAGAACGGGGCCCTAGAGTAAAAATTTAACTTTGAGACATTTGCAACACACAGAATTTTTTTAATTTAGAATAATTTTTGGAGCAAGACACGGAAACAAGAGAAAATCTGTCCTGGGTAAGCACAGCCTAGAGTGGCTGCCGTTGATCAGCAGCATCAATGCAGCATCAAGAAAATGCATGTTGCTGTGTTGCTAAGCCAAAGCAGTCATTCTCATTACCAGCCACAGGGAGGAACATTTATTACTAAGCCACTGACTCCTTTTGCCATTCATCTGAAAGCATAAAAGAGAAGCATTGCAACACATCTCCATTAAAAACAATGAGAAAATTTGAAGTTTCAAGTGACATCGTAGACTCTCTACTCCCTTCTTGATATCACTGAAATGCTCAAACTTGCTAATGCATTTTAGCTCCAGAGTTCTAAAGCCTTTTTTGTGTGAATTTCTCATTTAGCATTTATTTTAAAAGGTGCATTGTCCTGGTTCACTTGAAGTCTCTGACAGTCAGTGTCTGTCTAGTTTTGTTGTGATAAGTTAGATGGTACCTTCTCCAGTCCTTCTTCCCGTCTTTCCGTTACAGGCTGTCAATATTGCAGCAGGGTCAGCAGAAAGGGAACATCCGCCTCTACACAAGTAGTTTCAATGCAAAGCCTATTGTAGTTGAAAAGCTGAGACTGTACCAAGGTACACAACTACAAACACTTTCCTGTTAACCCTGCACTAAAGAAGGTAACCCCTGATGAAGAGGTCAGGCAGACAGATGAGTTCATATGTCATCACTTAGCTATCAAAGCCCAAAATATAGAGGTCACAAAACAAATACAACAAAAAGTGAGATGTAATTAAACGACAGCAATCCTGCACTTGATTCTTTACACCACGTATTTCATTAACAAACTTCAGATGGTGACTTACTTGCTGACATGGTCTGGAGAATAACTAAAAATGTGTATGTATATATGTATGAGCATTTAATGATCTGTTTGAAATAAAATATGTAGAATAAATTATTAACTACAATGTCTTAATTTCAGTCTTCCTTCACCCTATAGTTAACCTTTAAAACCTATGCAGGAGAAGAGCACACACACCAGTTACTTCAAGCATTAGGATTTAAACAACTGCTAAGGAGTTGTGATCAAGTCATATCCATAACTGAGGCTTTGGCTCCACAGAGTAAAAGTAGAGACCTCTGATTAGCAATTCTGAGGGTTGCTTAATGATTCCAAAACTGAGAATTGCACATTTCAGGTTACCCCTAAAGAGGGACTGGAGTGATTCTTCTCTGAATTTTCCATATTTGCAGGTTGACAGAAAAAAACTAAAGTGACAACATAGCAATTAGGGAAAAAAGTAAAAAAAAAAAAAACAAACCCTGTTTTTAAATCTTTTCTCCGTAACTTTAAAATGATGAGGAGGTGGTAGATCTATCAACAGGAGCAAACGCCAGACCTGATGACTCTCTTTCAAGAATGCTTTGCTGGTAATGCCAACCACCAGCACAGGACACACCACACTTCTGCTGTAAGAGAGCTTAATGCAGAAGCCTGAAGTTCCTGTTCATTTGCAGCAAAATCTTTACACCTTTACAAAGCAAACAATACAAAGCAAGGCCCATCTCACCTCACTCTCTTTAGAAAGGCAAACAGCTCTACTCTACTCTGAACAGTATTTCTTATCCATCGTTGCTGGCAGCACTAAGTATGGGTGAAATGCAACCTGGACTTTTGTGAAGTTATAACTTGGATTGTAGTTGTTACTAAGTCAGCCAAATACCCCTAGAGATGGCAGCAAGCCCAGCAAGAATGTCCACACCATACTACAGTCTCAGATACACAGATGTTTATGTCATTTTAATGGAAGGCATGGATACAAACCAATCTAGTTAAGGCTATGTTTAGGTATGGTTTAAGTCAACTAAAATCACATTTAAGCAAGAACAAAATGAATCCCTCAATAATCCTTCTCTGTTCCTTTTCTCCACCCACTGTTTCCCCTGGAAATAGTTGCCAACACCAACATCATTTACCAGTAATGTCACAATATATTTCTCACCTCCACACTTATCGTGATTCCCATGTGATTAATTAATGTCGTAACCAGTATAACCTTATCAAAGAGACAGAAGTATTTCCAAAAAGGGGGAGTGGAGCATGTGCAAGAGAGGTCAAAACTTGCAAACTGGACTGAGAAGTAACAAATCATTGGTAAGGAGGGGAATAGGAAAAAGAAGAATGAAATCACGGAGGAAGACAGGGAAACCCTGTGGAGAGGGTGGGATGTAAAGACAAACCTTCTTCCTTGTGCCAGTGTTCCCATATAGAAATGCTGGCTGTGTGCCAGTGTCAAATACGTGTCCACAAGGATTAGGGAAGAAACTGCACCTTCTTATCTGGGTATAAGTAAGAACTGCCACTAAAATTTCATCTCTAGTAGATTATGAGCAATCTTTCCTTCTTGTCACCCACGTCCTTTAAGCCTTGGAAACAGCGCTGCCTCTCTATGTGTTCCAAATAAACCCTTGCTTCTGCTTTAACCTAGATTGAGCTTGTGTTAAGGACAACTTCAGCATAAAGTGTAAGCCCAAACATACTCAGTCCATGGGTATGATATTCTTTAAAATAAGGGGCTGGAGTATTCTTGAAGCATTCAGCAGGCAAACGCATCTGAAAGGCAATGGGAACCTCTTCCGTACAAGGCGGGTCACATAGAGAACTACTGCAATTTAGATGGAAAACACATCTGCCAGCAGCCAGGGCTAGCCAAAGGAGCTTTCTGGCCACAGAGAGACAGGGGGAGAGAGCATCAGTGCCAAGGGAGCCTGAAGCAATTGCACATGGAAAATTTTCTGGGATCTCTCTTATGAATGACACCATACTAGTCAGTTGACACACAACTTATCCCAATCTCCTATATCTGAAAGGTGTACATAAATCCCACTTTGGACTCCATCGCCGCATGCATTCTTTGCTAATGTTTCCAGGCATTGGTTGCTACCATCACCTGCAGTTCCTCCACACAAACCTCTCAGTCCTTGAAGTCCTTGCTTAGTGCAGAGCAAAGTAAGCACAAGCAGAAAGTGCAGTTGGCACAAGACATTTGAACATGAGTGCCGTGCCCTGTGCAATGGCAGAGTCTCATCAGACAGGGAGGAGCTTTAGAGTAGTCTGGACAACTTAATCACTGCCATTATCTGACTATATCAGCAGCCTGCAGCTCTTGGCATGGTTGGGCTCTGGTATTTACCATCTCGTTAAGGACAGATGTGGCTGATGGTCCTCAGAACTTGTGACTTGACTGTGTAACAAGGATAGGAACCATAAGGTGATTTGTCTTCAGATTTTACATTTTGATGTAAAATCTTTACTGTTGTCAGAGTGGTTCTAAAGAACGTTTACCAATACAGTGATAGACATTTTATGCATATATGTATTTATATATAAATATATAAAATGTGTCAGTCGGCACAAAGTTATTATCCTTTGAATGAACACACCTCTTAAACAGCTCAAGCCCACTT